TCTTAATCAGGACCTTGTTAGCTCAGGGATTGTCTGATCTTGGATCCCCTCTGCAGGCTCCAGAGAAGCCCTTAATGATAATGAACAGAAGTTTAGATCATTTTTTGGTTTTATTTTGCAGTACTATCATTTTACAGAGTTTTCCAAACTAAAATTATTCATATTTAAATGCTTTCATGTCAGAAATTGACATTTATGAGTTTGCGCTTTGGTGATTTGGGAGCAGCTGAGACATCAAGCAGCAATCCTTTTTTAACCACAAACATTTTGAATGAAATCTTATTGAATGTTTTGTAAATATCTAAGTGCAGCTCAAAAACAAATTAGGTCAAGATGTTAAAAACCGCGAAACTTGATATTTTTTTTGTTGATTTTTAACCTCTTAAAGGCAGAACTTGTTTGGCTCTTCTAGAAACTCTCGACTTGGTTCTGTTGTCTGTTACTGTATATAACAGCAGTAGAAAGTTATCTACAGTATGTGAAAAACAGCTGCTTGGAAGATGCCAGTAATGGGCTTTCCTGTCCTACTCTACCATCAAAAACCTAAATATGCAAAGGTCGCAAAACTATTGAGACTAAGCTAGAGCCTTTATGCAGCTAATAATCAGGTTTGCATTCTGTCAAGTATGGTGGAAGATCTGGGATCCTGTGGGCTGCCATATTTTTGTCCCCCCCCAAAAAAACTCCTGGGGACTTTATTTGAGGTCATGGCATCATGAAATCTTTGATATGCAGAAATATTTTATATTGAATGAATGGGTATTTAACATGTTAGGCATTGAAAAACTTAGGCCAAAAAAAAAAAAAAAATGGTTCAATGACCCACAAACTCTGTCCTCGATAGTGGGAACTGAATCCTATAGATTACCTGTAGGTTGAGTCAAAAAAAGAGAGAATTAGAGAGAACTCTGGACTCTTACCTTAACTTTTATTTAAGCAGAGCTTACCTGCATACAAGATAGGTAGCTACGGCCTTTTATTCAGGTGTTTGGGATGGAGGATTTAAGTTTAAAACTACTGATCTTGAGATTATAGAAAGTAGAATGGTCAGCGGTTCCCAGTCTCTCTATGCTTGGGAAAAGTTTAACCTGCATCTTTCACAACAAATCATTCCATGCATGAATTAAAGATCCACTGATTCAGGTTTCATATGGCCGATGCAGATTATTATGATTTGATAAAATGGAGGGAGCAGTATACACATGGTTCACATGATGTTGAAGCATATATTGGTCAAAAATATTCTCCATCTGATGTATTGGTCTACCTCTAGTATGTATAGTAAAATAGTATTAAAAGTCATCTGACACTTTAAAAATGAAACATATGGTGTTTATAATTTTTCTGCTATGCTTTCAGTTTGCAGAGATCTTCCTCTTTCATCCTTATGTGGGGTTTGATTAGACTCCAGCATGCCTTCACTTCTCTCTAGCTTCAGTTTGGGTTTTGCCAGCTCTGTCAAATGGTTTGGGGGCGGAGCATTATGCCAGCCGTGCCAGTGTCCTACTTTGACTGAGTCTGTGAGAAGGAATGTGTGCCACGGGTTGTAGCATCCTCCAGGCAAGATGACTTTGAACTGGCTCCCAGCTGAACCCTCCCAGATCTGTGTCAGTGTCCCATTGTAATATCTAATGAAGCACCGCTTGAAACCAAACGAATATTTTTCCTCTCACACTGATAACAGAAAATCTGTGATTACAGTTCATTGGCAGGAAGATGCCACCCTGACGAAGGCTGCCTCGAGTTCAGCCTGCTTTACTTTTCTAATCAGAGAACATTTATTCACACAATCATTTATCTGTCCTCCCTGTGGTGGTAAACGTCTCTTAAACTGACCTCTGAAACTGTGTTATTAATCCTAAAGTGAATGTGCAGCACACAGCCTGCAGGCTGGAAATCACAGAGCAGTTCAGAGCTAATTATGAGCTCAGACTGTGATCTCTCTTTTATCTCTGATATTGTATCTTAAACATCACAGACATTTCCAAAGAGCCATATTAGTTCTTATTAAGCTGCAAATTGTATCTCAAACATGCAAATTTAATCTCAGGGAATAACTGCAGATATCTCAGTCAAAATCTCAGCTGTTTAAAGTTTTAATATTCCAATATGTTTCATTTTAACAGGCTGCATTGGGTTAGTAGTTGATTTGATTTTTCAGTTTAATTAAAAATATCAAACTGTGAGATGAAACAGAGAAGCCCAACCTGGAGTGACCATGGCTATATTTGTTAAAGATGTTTTTAAAAGCCTTAGATGGACTTTTTTCATTGCACTTGTATTTTTTTCACCCTTTAAACTCAAACAGTCAAAAGAAGATACACCTAAAAGGAACAAATTGATTTAACAGGGAACATCATTTATGTTAATATTTTTATCTCAACCTGCACACTTTATTAAGTTATTTACAGTTTCATTACAAATTGTTAATTGCCAGTTTTTTTTGTAAACTCAAAAATAAAAGGAGCGTGTAAATTTTTATATCAAATCCAAACTCACAGTTCTAGCTAAGGTCCCAGTGGTGTTTTTATGACATAATTACCAATCATCTAAACATGTAAATGCTACTATTTTTTCACAGTCCTCTCTAAGCCTTGGAGACTTTTTTTTAACCTCTGGTCCCCCATGAAAAAATGTATCCTGGATCTGAATAAGTGTTGCAGCAAAAAGAGCTGCCTTTTAGGTCATTAGATGAAAGAAATGGGCCGCTGTGTTTTCTGCTTACTTCCAAGAAAAAATGGACCACATGGATAATATTAATATTAGACATTTCATCAAACTGATCAGTTCATGACATGAAACTGTTAATTATGCTACAGATTAAAGAACAAACTTTTGATGTGATGCATTAATTGAAAGTGTTTTCATTTATCAGAAGTTGGATTCTTAAGAGTCAGATAATGCTACTGCAATCAAATTAATACATCCCGATTTTACACATTTTAATAGGGGGGCCCATACATTTCTCTGTCTACTGGGAAGTTTCCAACATGTGCTAAAATTATTGTTGTATATGAATTAATCACAGAAATAAATAAAACCCTACTTTTATTATGTTTATTGGTGACATTGGTGAAGATATTCACTTACCAACTGGAAGATAAAGCTTCTTGAATCATATTTTATGTCATGTTTGGCTTTAGGTGCCTAACCCACATGCAGAACACTCCGAGACTGGATAAAAGTTTAAAAGTTTATTTAGAAGATGGAATACAATAAATAAACAGATCCCAAGGAGAACTCGTCTGGTCACGAGTGGATTCTGAAATGCACACAGAGTTAACAGGTCCAGGACTGGTCACGAGTGGATTCACTGCAGAGGGGGACAGAGGAGTTAGTGGAGGTCCAGGTAATTTGCAGGATGAGAATGTGCAGGGCTGTACCTGTACAGGAGTTGAGCTGAGCGGCTGAGGGGGGAACCTTGAGGGTCCAGAGGCTGTCGGCAGGCTGAGGGCTAGGCGGAGGCAGAGCTTGGTTTGAGTGTTGGCAGATTACCGATTAGAGTTTCCCTTCCGGTTTCTTCAGAGAGCGGGCAGGCAGGTCTTTGACAGGAATAGTTTTCCCGAGTTCTTCAGAGAACAGACAGGCAGATTACCGGCAGAGATACTCTTCTGGGTTTCAGGTTTCAGACAGGTTCAATCTAGGAAGCAGAGAGGAGAAAACAGATCAGGTTCTGGTTTTCAGGGAGTCAGAGGTTCAGACAGGCAGGTTGGCTCAGGCTTGCTAACCGTAACTGGCAAACACTCTGGCACTGGAGAGAAGTCCTCTGCCTCCTTAAATACAGATCTCCTGATGAGCAGATGAGCGACAGGGGGTAGCAATCAGCTCCGGCTCCAGGAGATCTAGTACGCCCTCTGGTGGAGAAAGTGGACAGACCTCCAGATCCCAACATTTTAAGAAAAAGCATATAGTATAATTTAGAAACGAATACAATAGGGAGAACTTTAACAAACTCTTAAACGGGGTTTGGATTCCTCTGATTAACCAATATGCTCCTATTTATAAGTATTCACTTTTTTGAATTATCATAGGTATGACAATATTGCAATCCAAAAGGATTGGATGGTGAAATAATGAACTTCCAAGCTGCACAGACAGAAAGGGTCACAAATAGAGACTTCTCAGACCTCTGCGTCCGTTTTTTGATCAAATTAAAGGATCAGCCCTCAGTATGTATCAGCAGTTTCATCTATGAAGCTTTATGAAAAGATTAGCAAAAAAATTGAGAGGAAATTATTACTGTCGTTTACACAGAGCCTGCTTATCAAAAGAAGCATCTCACATTTGAACATACCAAAGCTTACATGTGATTAAACTGGTTATCACAGATATTTAGTCTGAAAACAAGAGGAAAAGGATTTCTTTTTTTTTCAACCTTTTTTTGCTAAAGGAAAGGTTGATTTGCTCAGACTCACAGATAACAACTTATTCCTATGATTCATTCCTGCAGCAGAGACGTCTGAGAATGTCTCGGAATTCAACTTGTTGTCAAGATAGGCTGGCCAAAAAAAAAAAAAAAATCAAGGATTCTTATTTTTATAGAAAAAAAAAGTAGACAAATTTCAGAAAAAATACCACCTTGGAATCCTCTTTTCTTTTGCTTTTTAAGTGTCGTTGAGAGTATCTAAATGTTACTGTAGGTTTTCTTTGTCCACTACTGCTAATAAACGCTACAGTATCAGAGTGGTGTAATAAAGGGTCTGCTTAGCTAAGAAATATAAGTAACCTTTTAGATATCAGAACATAAAATAATGTTGTTTTTAAATGTATACATTAGCATGAATGGATTTCAGCCACTTTACTGAGTTGTCTATTTGGAGATGCGTCCATATTGTGTGTGTCACTGTGAGTGCTGTGTCCGTTTGATGGGAACAGGACTGACAGTAGGGTCAAACGTACATGCACTATACCTCCTTTAATGTGTCCCTTTCCTGCTGAATCCTGAAAGGATGATGAGCTGTGACAGTTTGGATTAATGCAAAGATTTGTCCCTTTCTCAGGTTGCTGATCTACGGTCAGTACTGCAGCCACATGGAGAACGCCCAGAAGACACTGGATGATCTCATAGCAACACGAGAGGATGTCAAAATAAAAGTGGAGGTAAGATCATTTTAGCGCTCTCTGCTGAACAGCTGGGCTTAGGCTAACATTAGGACTTCATTGATTAGTATTCAGTTTTCTTTTTTTTTAAATCAAGCAGAATAAGGAGGTATGATTCTGTTTTGTTGTTGTTGTTTTTTGATAGAATCAATGACCAAACTTTTTTTTTATTAGAAATTCTTAGAAAAATTACCCTACACATAAAACCCTAAATTGTAGCTCTACAAATTATTTTGCATCATCTATTTTGTAGTCCTACTATTTATAGAGATATAATTGGCACCAGTGGGGATGATCCTACTGTATGTAGATGATTGGTAAATCTATGACTGTGTTTTGTATAAATGTATTTTATACGCTGCTATTTTTTTTTTATTTTATGCCTCTTATTGAACAGCACTTGTCTAAAAAAGGTGCTAAATAAATAAATCCTACTTTCTTACTTCTTTCTGGGCCAGAAATGACACCCCTGATTGAATCATTGTTATGAATTTCTCTACATCTGAGCATGTTTAATTAGTTTCTGTAACAGTTGGACTTTAGATATTGATACATTAATGGTTTTAAGATTACCTGCATTTTAAATTAAATAAATCCAAAATTGTTTGGGGATGTTTGTAGCCTCAGACATGCTCTGAATTATCCTCCTTTGAAATCTAAAGCCACTATTGTCCCTTTGGTGCCATTGACACAGATTTATCTGCACTAATAACAAAAACTAAACATAATAAAAGTACTTTAGCTGTAGTGGTTTAGCTTAGGGGAGAATCTGCCTGCTACACTTCTTCTTCACAAATGGGTAAAAGAAAGAAAGAACCTGATTATCTGATATGTGTGAACTAGGTGTTTAGGTGTCAGAATAGCACCGATTGTGTCTTTTCTTGCTTATAGTTTTAATGTGAAGTCAGTTAACATACTTTTAAATTAAATAAGATCATATGAAAGATTACCATGTAAAATAAAGTTATCAACTTCACATTAAATCGTGTTTCAGGGCAAATAATGAAAATATTATGTTTTCTTCAGAACAAAAGAAAATAACATCCTGTGGCCTACTTTCTATTTTAACAATGTTAAATACAACGTATGCAGGTAGAGAGAATAGGAGACAATTTAGCAATAATAAAAAAGAATGAAATATCAAAAGGCAAAAGTGTTTTTTAATGCATTATGTAATTAATCTGCATTAAAGAAGCACTGATGGAGCAAATATATATATCTTCTTTTTATGCATCACATAGTTAATTCATTTCAAGTTGTCTTGTTAAAAAAACAAAATGAAACTAAAATTCAGAAACTATTTTTCTTACAATGAATCTAAAGCCATGGCCAAATAACTTTAACATGGGCCGAACTTCTCTTGCTCACATATAGTTCTCCTCTTTTAAGTCGCCTGTTTGAATTAAGTCTGGTTGGTCAGAAGTCTTCAGATGAAATTCAGTCGAATGCAAAGTTAATAAAGTTAATGAAAATGAACTTACAAAAAGCTCATTTGCACTTAGCCCTCCACAAAATGACCTGGTAGCATCAGTTCAATGAGCTCAGGGGAAAATGTTAACGAGTCTCTGAAGCTGATGCGACTCTGTCCTGCTGATGGAAGTGAAGCAGCTTTTAACTGGAGTGGTGCTTGAAATCATTGTTTCGTTAACTTTACAGAAACTTCATGTCATTAATGCTATTTTAGGATTTACAGGCTGAACTATTACAGCTAATGAAACTCCACTGTTATCAACCATTTATCCAAACATCGAGCCCTCCAAAATTCATGAAGAAACCTTTAAATTGTTCTAGAAGGTCAGGCAGTACCCAGGAGGGTAGCTGACTGCCACCAGTGCAGAGTTTGCTAAGGAATGGCAGCAAGTTGGTGAGCAGTGAGGGGGAGACTTTGAAAGCTGAACTGTTGTCTGTAAAAGCAGCAAATGGTCAACTTCTCATCCCAGAATAAAACAAAGGCATGCTAACAATAACGGTTAATTGAAATTTTTTTATATAACGTTGGACCCTTTAGACTCTTTTGGATAAAAATCATAACTTTCCAGCAAAGGGAAAAGTAAACCATGAAAAAAAAAACAGTTTAAACACTCGTGTGAGGCTGCTTCTCATCTAAAAAAGTGGCCTCAATCACAATTTTGGCTGAAACACTGCAAGATATAAAAATAAATGGAATTAAAATATCCTCCAATATACAAATATGAAGACAAAGAGAGAGCAGAGAGGTGACAGCGCCTCCTCTGTTTAACAGATATACTGTGGAATGAGTTACCTTTACATGTTAGGAAACAAACTCACCTTCTGTTAATTCAATCCCCTATAAAACGTTTCTTTCTCTACTTTCGTTAACTGAGTTGTATTTTAAATTGCTACAAAAAAGTTGAGTTTGTTTGAATAGGAACAAATTGGGAGCGAACAAAGCCTTTTTTCAAGCACTTAATTTAATTTAATACTTAATAAAGTGCTTTTGAAATACTAAAATGCTCATTATTTTAATATTCATTAAACTATATATTGTTCATTTTGCTATTCGTTATTCAACATCATTATGCTCAGTTTGAGTATACCAAAGAAAAATGTAACCTTAATACAAAAAACACTGAAGCCTTAAAGCTTGTGAAAAGCAGATTTTTTTCCCCAGTGTCAGAGTGCTGGCATGGGCTGTAAAATGTGAATTTTTTCTGTGTTTTTGTTCAATGACCCTCTGAATCCTTTAGTTGAAAGCAGAACTGTTGTGCAAGAGTTGCATCAGCAGTCTCTCAGTGCAAAGAAAGGGCTTTGGGTGCTATTGGCAACATTAATGGGGTAGTGATCACAGCCTGGGTGGATTACCCTGAGATCCTCTCAGATGGGTCAGTTTTGTATCACTTCAAATCATCTTCTTAAAGTTTATTTAAAAACGGTGTTAGGAAGGAGGGATAAGCTGCTGTTACTGCATAAAGGTGGAGATAAACTTTAACACCACCTGTTATTTGGCAACAAGAGTACTTCTGTGTTTTGTTGTGATGGAGATTAAATCAAAATGATTTTATTATTTGGAGGAATTTCTCAGTCAGCATCCAAAGTAATTGTGTCACCATTTCTGGCATTATGGCAGAAGAAAAAAACAGGCCCTGCTCTTGTTGCTGGAATGCAGCAATTAGTTGTTGAACAATAAAAGTATTCTTGCATGTGGAAGAAATAAAAAAAAAACACAATACCCTGTTATGCAACGTGGTGACCACCCTGCTGCTCATGTTGTTGCTCCTGCAGGAATGTACCATGAAGGTGCAGGAGGGGAAGTTCAAGCTGCAGGATCTCTTAGTGGTTCCCATGCAGAGGGTGCTCAAGTATCACCTACTTCTGAAGGTAAGTGGAACTCTCACGTCTGAAGGACCAGCAACATCGTCCGCTTTACACAACTTAATCCGATCTTGGACATTCGATGAGTGAGATGACAGATGGCCCTTAAATGACCCTCATCTTTTTCATCCTCTACTCCCACATAGGAAATAAATCTCTTTGAAGACAAAACAGAAGAGAATCTTCACAGCCTAAATTCCAACTTTTGGATATCAAATTGTCACCTTCTGTCAGCCTCAAGCACAGCCCTGAAAAGATTGAAGCCTTATTGTGTGTACAGCAGCAGCGGTCAGATTGGATTTTACAGTTTTTAGAGAAAAGCTTAAGGCTACCATTCCCACTTTAGAGGAGAATAAGGAATGGATTTGTCATAACATCTCAAGTCGGCGCATGAGGTTTAACCTGCTATAGCTTCCCTGTGTGTCAGCTGCTTGTTCATGGTGAATTGATTATTATCAGGAATGTTTGTTACACTAATTCTAATAATTAGCAAAGCTATAAAAAGGTACAGATAAAACAGATTTCTGTCCATTTTCTTAATTGTTTACAAATTTGTCAAGGAATGCCTTATAAATGAAGGCTGGACACATAGAAATTAAAATTGTTAATGTTTCATAGCTAAAATCCATTTATAAGATTTACATTTGGGGATTTATGTATTAGAAAACTACAAGTAGTTCACACTTTGGAAGGAAAAGAAAACAAATAAGAATCCTTAAAGTGAGTCCTATATCTATATTCAGCCAACTTAATCAGATGTTCTTAGCCAGCACTCCACCATCTTTCCCTGTAATTACTCCTTAAAGCCTTTTCAGTTACAAGCTTATTAGCTCATTCTGTTTTACAAAAAAGCTTAGTTAGATTGGACAAATTGTCTGCGAATATCCACCTCAGTCTCAAGCCAGCAACATGTTTTCTTCTAATTTTTCTGTTTATTTAGTTCCAATAACCTCCTTATAAATCTAACCAGTACTCCCCCCATAAATGACTCTGCCATTAGTCAAGTCAAGTCAGGTCAGCTTTTATTGTCACTTTCTTCATATGCACAAGACATTCAAGGGAAAATGAAATTACGTTTTCTCTTTAGAAATATACAAGAATATACAAGACTGACATTTACAGACTGACATAAAGTGCGGGACATGACAGATAACAGTGATAGACTGGTAACAATAAGTGGTCAATAATAAATACAGTACAAAGAACATATGACATTTAACGTTAACATTCAATATTTAACATTGAACATGTAAAAGAAGATAAGATAAATAACATTACCTGTTATCATGGAATTGTTGTTGTCAATTGGGCTGAAACAATCAGATTAATCGTGATAAATTAATTATTAAAATAATCATCAACGATTTGAGTAATCGATTAATCATTAACTGTAGCATAGAGACTGTAAAAAATGCCTTTAGCTGACAGAGCAACCCACTTTTAAAAAATCTTTTTCATCCCTTAATGTGCTTTATTCAGCCTCATCAAGTATTTGTTGCACTTGGTTTGATTTTGTAAAAAGTCTTCTCTAAGTAACTTTCGGTTGTCATATTATTAATAAATTGATCCAAAAAAAATAATCAACAGATTAATCGATTTGCAAAATGATCTTTAGTTGCAGCCCTATTGTCAGCCTTGTTTTTCGGTAAACAAGTCTGACGTAAGGACGTTTGTTGCTCATCTGAGCAGAGCTCTTTCTCTTACCTTAGCTGTCCTTCATGACTCACCCATTACAGTTCCAGGTAATTGTTCAGTGCAGGCAGCAACCATCAAGGAGAAACCTGCAGGTCTATTGAGCTTCCATTCTCTGGCTTTACCCTTTTAGTGTGCATCTCTCCAGTGGGTCGATCCCCCTCCCCGGTCATAACTGGTTCATGTTTTTGCTGCAGTTCACTGTCTTCACTGTCTCACCTCCTATATATTACCTCTTTAAGACCTTTCCTTTCCAGCACACATTGGTTTTTGCAAGTTAGCAAGGTCCCCTTTGCTAAGTCAAGTCCACAGGTCTTCTTCATTTAGGAATAATTGACAGTCTTAGGTTAAAAAGGGATAGATTTATGTTTTTAATTACAAACATGTAACTAAAACCACACAGTTTCATCCTGTGACCCACTACTTTATGTGTATCTGTTCATTGAAATCGGAATAAAACCCTTCCAAGTTTATGGCTGTAATATCACAAAACTTTCCAAAGAGCTCCAGCGGGTGATTACTTTTATGAGAAATGGTAGCCATTGGAAACTAAGCTGGTCTGATGTTAGCATTCAGCTAAAACCTGTTAGATACTAGGTGTTTGTTTACAAGATAAGCAGAGAACGATGATATTCCTCATGATTTATTCACTTTCATCTCCCTAACCACTCAGAAAAAGTTACGTCATTTAACTAGAGATGGATTTAAAAAGCTGTGATTTTTATTTATTTTTTTCCTGTTTGTTGGTGTCGAACCCCTGCAGAAGCCACGGAAATCCTCTGAGGTCAAATCAACCGTGCACTAATCAGATTAAACACACTCCATTTCACAGCCTGCCACAACTTTGTAGGAGAACAGTGCTGCTGAACGCGCCCCCGGGGCACGCCGGATTGACAGGTCCCGTTTCCGTGTGGAGGGAAGTTTATGCGGGTCTAATCATGCCTGAGGGCATCACCTCTCTTATCGCTGAAGAGATATCATCACAGTAGAGTTCATTGTTTGTTTTGGCTTTGAATAGGTTTTTTATTTGCTTTAGTCGGTCTCTGACTAAAGAGAAATCAACACTGATATCTCAGATTTACTTAACAGTGTTTGAATAAAACACTTTATAAAAAGAAATTTATATTTCCAACCCACCTTTAACTATACCATAAAAAAGGGTCATAATTTCAACCTTTTATGAGAAAAACATGTAATTTGTGTAAAAATATGCAGTCCTACAAATCTGGATAACATTTACAAGAAAAGGATTTTATTTTTATAGTGGTTAAAAAAAAAATTGATTTGTTTTGGTTTTTTTTTTGTTTATTCATAAACTATTCAAAATTGATAAACTATTCAAAATTGGCTGATTAGTGCAACAGTTAAAAAGGTACATTGAACATTTCTGAATATGAAAATAGTTTGAAAATCTTGAAGAAATGTTTCCTTTGCAGCTCCTTGTGCAAAGTTTCTGTTGCGTTCAGGTGCTGGACCGTACCTTCACGCCACACCAAGTCCATTTGCCAATACTTGTTGCTCAGAGCCAATGTGCTAAATGACTATACATGAGAATATAATAAGTAAACATATGGGAGACACATTTACCCTCACACATTTTGCCCCAGAGAGACAAAAGACTGACTCTGTCCTTAAAGGCATCTTAGAATAATAAATGCAGCTTGTGACTGATTATTTTTGGATTTGAAATAAGACACAATATTTAAAAAGAGAAGCAGTCACACTAAAACACATTTATGTGGCACATTTTATCCTGCACAGCAGGAATGCTTGAGACAGCACTATTGATGAAGTTTAACTTCCAAATCTGATTTTTCTCTTTCTTTTGTCTGTTGTGAAATTTTTTGTTTAGAGGGATATATCCAACCCTATTGGAAAATTGAGTGGAAGGAAAAACTGTGGTGGAGAGTAGTGAATGAATTGCAAGGATGACAGAGACAAGGAACCTTGCAAGTGCTGGAGAATTATTTTCAAATCTGTCACAGACCTTTAAAAAAATATGGGCTACAATTGTTGAATATGTTGTGTTGATGCTCTCACACTATGTACAGTAGGGATGGGTTCCGTTCAGTACCGTGCTAACATCATCTTAAACAATGGGCTTGTTTGTCTGGAGCAGATGATGATGCATCTGCCTCCCCCAAATTACCGGCTTCACATGAGGAGTTGCTTTTTGATACAGGTGTGCTAACTCTGCTGGACTGTAGGTGTCATTGTAGTTGTAGTGCACTCTTCACTCTTCAGGTGCTTCCTCAGGTTAGACCTTGCACATTGCGTCACAGGTATTGCACCAGTTGTAATCTGCATTGCATCCTTGAAATGTGGAGCCATATTCTCAAGCTCCTATCGTACGTGCAATGCTGTGTTCATGTCAGACATGTAAATCTGTCCGCTCTTCCACTCTGTGTCAAACTGATGCATTTAGGTACTGAAACTTGATTTTATGTGAATAGCTTCTCTGTAATAGCAAAGGAATTTGGTTGTTATTCTTAAAATTACAGATTTCAGTACTCATCCCTGCTCATGAGCGGATACAGACTTGCCTGAGCGAAGGAGAGGGACTGGACTGAATGAAATGGTCCTAAAGTTCATGTCAGTTTAAATCAAATCGAAACTAAGCTGCTTGAGGTTCAGGTGTGAAGCTTCTACTGTCAGTGATGATTAGGGGTTCATGTCATCAGCTGCTGTTTCTCTGTTGTGTTTTATCAAGATGGAAGTCAGAAGTCCAGGAAATGTTCAAGTCCCTTCGAGTTTCTGTTTGCAGACAGGACTTATTAAGATGTTGGTTTCATTTCTAGGGGGACATAGCCAAATGCTAATGATTGGAAAGAAACATAAATGTATTTTTCTGGGTTTTTTTTTTTAGTTTTTCTTGTGAATCTATCAGTTTCACAATTCAAATGGAAATTAATTTAATTTTAATTGGAATACTAGTTTAGTGAGATCCACTTTTGTCATTAAATTAGGGGTTGGGTGAGCAGCTGAGCTCTAAATAGCTTTGGACAGTTCAGGTAATGATTCATTTATGATATTCTATGAAACCAACCCATGAGGTTTTTTGATCAGCAGAGTCAACAGAGAGAGCTGCTGTAGTTTAATCAGCAAGGTGAGTGTTGTTAACCTGAAGCGTGATGGAATCTATCCTCCCTTGATCCACACTTCCTCTGGAAAGCTGTAAATAGGGGTCTTCTTCAAGTGTGTCTAATCTGAAATAACCAGACTCCTGACATCCTGCTGAAATTTCCATCGGTGCTTGTTCTCTCTGTGCACTTACCGTGCAGAGAAACAAAAATGATCAAGGTAATCAGTGCCAGATTATCTCACATGTTTTGTTTCCTAGATGAGCGGCAGAGAAAAAAAAAAATCTCAAAATTCATGTACAAAAATGAACATAACTGTAGAAGCATTGCCATACAGTGAAACAATATAAGATGTCAATTTTTAAAGACATAATCCAGCTTTCTGTAGTAAGTTAAAGTGTTTTTTAACCTTCATAATCTGTCAACTTCACCTCTAAAGATGTTGGTTTTCCTAACTTGGTCGACAACCAGATGGAAATGTAGCATCATTAAACACGGAACTCTCCTATTGGTCCATAAAACATTTAGGCGGAAAAAGTTCCTTATCAAAAAAATTACTGCAGACATTATAACCTTTTTAGTGAGAAAATCAATGGATTTGAAGACATTAATTTGTGATCATCAACTCTTTAGATCTATTTAGCTGTTAATGAATGTTTCTATATTTTCAGATTGGCATAGTTCAAACATTTCATCACACTGAAATGGATAAAATGGGATTTAATCAGTATAATCCTAATTAATTTTAATAATATTTTTTCTTATTGATCTCAATTTCCTTCTCTGTCTTACCTGCCATAGGAAACACAGATTAAATTGAGCTAATAGCCTGTTGATCTGTTCTCTACTTGAATTTAGTCGTTTTTTTCCTGCTCATTGTACCTAATTGGACAGTTAAATATATCAATATGTCTCTTCGCTTGCATCTAGATATAGGTATTCATAATGAGGATTAAAAAAGAGTTGTAGGGATTTAGGTTTTTATCTGCTTGCTTTATAGAATTAATAAATCCTCA